CTAGATGTCCAGGGGAATATCAGTCAAATAGCAGAGTGCGATCACCCGGGAATTGGAGCTATTTCCACCGAAGTCCGTCCACATTTGAATTCCAGATCTTGACTACATATTACAACGGGGAATCATCACCATAAACCTCTTTCATCTCATTGAATGTCTCCTTGGGTTTGTGGCTTTTCAAGTAAAGGAACTTGTTGAACAAGTGTGAATATTCCAGACATGAAACAATCAGGGCCAGCTACACCTCCCAACAAAGGATTCCCCCAGGCAGGAAGCAGCTAGGCTTTGAAGTTGCAAATCCATTCAGTGCTAATCAAGGCAGCCAATTGCACCATTCATACTTGCCTCAAACAAGTATGCCTTCTTTCTCTCACCCTGGAAATTCTACTTAGCTAGTTTCCAACAGACCTCACACCTTTGAGGATGCCTGCCATAGGTGTGGGTGAAACATCAGAAGAGAATTCTTCTGGAACTTGGCCATACAGCCCAGAAAACTCACAGCAACCTTTCTGTAACAATATTTTCTGTAATATAGTGCCAATATGCCATAAGTTAATATGATTGACAGACTTGTTTGGTTTCATTGAATAACTGTTTTGAAACAACAGAAGTCTTTAGATGCTGACTTGCTTCTCATTGACACTGACAGGTTCTGTTCTTTACTGTAGGAGAGAAGGACTGCGAGTGAAATTTGCTGCTATTTATTCTGGATGGTTATTATAATAACAATACTTTGTTACAAAACCATTCTTATAACTGAAGATGAATTTGGGCTGAGTGACTGTTTTCTTTTAGTAGGCATTCTACAATCTCACCATCTCCAACTAATCAACGCCATACCTAAGTATTCTTTTAAAAACAAGATGGGTGCCAAAAGCCTCCCAGTAGGGAAAAGCAGTCAAGTGAGAGAGCCCTTCGCTGTTACCTAAGGGCAAAGTGAATCATTATGTCTAGCAGATGTAATATTAGCAGTTTTTAAAAAATACTCGACCGGACTGGTTGAAGCAGCAAGAACATACAGGAAAAATAGTGAAGTCGTTCCAATCAGGTTAGAAAGGAACTAGGAAAGTATAACTTAAAATCCAATGGCTAGTTCCAACTAGATTATCCCAACTGAACAAACCGTTGAATAGTAAATCAACACTTACGTAAAGCTCACTGATTGACTGGATCTACTCTAGTTAGGACTAGTAATTGGGTTTAGGCCAAGGTCTTTCTTCCCAAAGAGTTGTTTTCATCAGTCTTTATCATGAAAGAGACTGCAAAGCTGTAAACTGACATGTCAAAAGGAAACAGTTGCATTTGTAATCTAGGAATATAGTGTGTACTTAGACACTAATTGTCTTTCTTTGCAACATTGTTTTTTAAATTCAGTTTTCTCTTTTATCCCCAAAAGTTCTTTGTCCTGCTATAATTGGAAACAAAGTATGATCTCGGTGGAACAACAGTGAGCTGAACAAGTTAGTGGTGGGAATGGGAATCTGTTCTGTAGAACCCAAAATATACATTTGCTTAATTAACATTTCTGGTGCCCCCTCCATAAAATGAAAACAAGCTTTGTTTGGGGAATTTTTTTAGACCTCTTTGAAACAATGCAAAACTGTTTTCGAAGAGATGGGTACAGTAGAGTTTACTTATCCAACCTTCGCTCATCCAGCGTTCTGTGTTATTCAATGCAGTCTGCCTCCCGCCCGGATCCACAGCGGTTTCAATACATTGTGATGTTTTAGTGTTAAATTAATTCGTAAATACAGTAATTACTACATAACATTATGTCTAGCAGATGTATCTTAAAAAAAATACTCAAAAAATACTCAACCGGACAGGTTGAAGCAGCAAGAACATACAGGAAAAACAGTGAAGTTGTTCCAATCAGGTTAGAAAGGAACTAGGAAAGTATAACTTAAAATTCAAGTGCTTAAATCCAATGGCTTTTTCTGTCGATTTGTTGTAAAACATGATGTGTTGGTGCTTAATTTGTAAAATCATAATGTAATTTGACATTTAATAGGCTTTTCCTTAATTCCTTCTCATTATCCAACATTTTCACTTATCCAACATTCTGCTGGCCTGTTTATGTTGGATAAGTGAGACTCTAGTGTATTAGGAACTAGGAATGTGTCTAAATTGCTTGTTTAATGAGGATTCATATATTGCGGTAGCACAGCTGCAGAAAATCTTGCCGACCGGAAGGTAGGCAGTTCAAAGCCATGGGTCAGGGTGAGCCCCTGCCATCAGCCCTAGCTTCTGCCTACCTATCAGCTTGAAAACAGTAATGTGAGTAGATCAATAAGTACCACTTTGGCAGGGAGGTAAAAGGCACCCATGCTGACATGCCAGCAATTTGATCAGGAAGGCTTCCATGGACAACAGGCTTCTTGGCATGGAAAATGGAACAAGAGCACCTCCCCATGGCCGGAGTTGAGCACAGCCTCCAGATGCCAGAGATGAAAAGGGGGAAGCCTTTGCCTCTGTCTATGTACTGTCTGTCTTTGTTGTTAATTGTATAATGGCATTGAATGTTTGCCATATTTGTATTCTGTAAACCGCTCTGAATCCCCTCAGGGAGATAGAGCGGAATATAAATAAAGTTTATTATATTATATTATTGCACCTTTACATAGAATGAGAATAACGTGAGAATGTTTTGGCTCCAGATCATGGTACTTGATGTCATGTTACTTTATTATTAGCATCACACTGTGGTGAAGTCTTCCCAAATTCTCAAAATTGCATAGTAATGATAACCAATTAGATACAACATATTCCAAAATCCACAGAAGAGTGATGCTTTTATTGTACAATAGAAATACACAAAACATATGGTGCAGGATTTCAAACGTCACTGACTTCTTCATTAGGCAAAACATATTTAAAAATCATACAGGAAAATAAATATAGCAGTGGTAGAGTCACAGGGCTACATTTTGTATCTTAGGTTGTTTCGGTTGTAGTTCAATCATTCTGGAGGGATCTCGGTGCAGTCAAAGGCCACGAAACTCTTTTTTTTTTTTTTTTTTGGTCGTGTCAGGAGCGACCTGAGAAATTGCAAGTCGCTTCTGGTGTGAGAGAATTGGCCGTCTGCAAGGACGTTGCCCAGGGGACTCCCAGATGATTTGATGTTTTATCATCCTTGTGGGAGGCTTCTCTCATGTCCCCGTATGAGGAGCTGGAGCTGATAGAGGGAGCTCATCCGCCTCTCCCGGGATTCGAACCTGCGACCTGTCGGTCTTCAGTCCTGCCAGCACAGGGGTTTAACCCACTGTGCCACCAGGGGCTCCTACGAAACTCTAGGTCATTAGAAACAAGAGAGAAAGGTTAATAAAAGACAGACAATACAATGTTAATTCTTTTAGCAACTTCTCTTTCAACCAAGGTTGTCCCTGCCCTATGCCTTTAGAACAGGTATGAAAAGATGTGAGAAAGAGAAGGCAAAGCATTGTTATGACTCTCTCATCCTAAATACAGCTACAACTCTGGTTTTCTTATCCACTGAGAGCTTTTTTAGGGACCATCTCCCAGGTTATATCCCCATCTGAAGTGAGTGCATCATAATGACTGGGGAAAGAGGCTTCCCAGTTGTGGCACATCAGTCATGGAAGATTAGGCTACTCCCTTTGTCATTCCATTACAAGACAAAAATACTTTACTTCAGTTCCCCAAATTTTTTAATTTAACATTTCTTGCAGGTTTTTTTCAATTCTACCACATTGTTATGTTTTGGATGGTATAGTTTTAATTGATGTTTTAATTCAGGTTTTAATTGTAATTTATTTGATACATGTATGTATGGTGTAACGAAATAATTATAATGGAGGTTTTGCCTATGTTTATTAATGTTGATGTTATGACATGTTTATGAATGTTGATGTTATGGCCACCTTGAGTCCCCTCCAGGGTGAGAAAGGCAGGATATAAATGTGGTAAATAAATAACTGGATTATTTATAGTCATCTATGTTTTTAATTTGTATCTGAACCACAATTGGGAATGTATGTTGAAGAGTAGGGAACACATTTCTAAAACATATAGTATTTGCACTCCTGTATTTATAAAAATTACAATTACTAACAGATCCTAAACTCGTGGTGGTGCAGCGGGTTAAACTGCTGAACTTGCTGACCGAAAGGTTGGCGGTTTGAATCTGGGGAGAGGGGTGAGCTCCCGCTATTAGGGCCAGCTTCTGCCAACCTAGAAATTCAAAAACATGCAAGTATGAGTAGATCAGTAGGTATTGCTTTGGCAGGAGGGTAATGGATCTACCTGCAGTAATGCCGGCCGCATGACCTAGAAGGTGTCTATGGACAACACCAGCTCTTCAGCTTAGAAGTGGAGATGAGCACCACCTCTCAGAGTCAGACACGACTAGACTTAATGTCAGGAAAAACCTTTACCTTTATCTTACCTAAACTCATGGGTTGCAATCAAGTAATTTCAAAAAGTATAATAATCTTCTCTATTTGTAGGGAAAAGTTTGTGTGCTTTTTGTAACCATCTATGCAATTTCTTACAAATGTTCAGCACATTTTTGGTTAATTACACATTTCAGTACATGCATTATTGCATCTTATTACTAATTGTGCGCTTTTTAAAGCTTAAATATATCAAAGCTATATCTTTGCACTTTTGATCAAACTGTCTGAAAACTTCACGTTCCAGGTTCTTAACTTCCTCATACTTCCCTTAATTAAAAAATGGACAGCTCAATAATTCCTATAAGCCTGTAATAATGTAACAGTGGGAGTCCATAGAGCCCTTTATCATTCAAATGCTCAGTGGTTTCTCAAATAAAGTGGATGAATAAGCATTGCTTATAAAAGTAAAGGAGATTATTAGTAGTGAAAGGCATATTTGAACCGGCTGAAAGGATTGCTTTTGTCTCTAGAAGACGCTTATTCTCAGAAATAATTACTCTGAGTCTTTATTTCATCCTTGAAGTCTCCCTTTATTCACGCTTCTCTATCTCTGAATAGTGTGTCCTTGCTTTTTAATCCCTCTAGGAATGCGGCTTTGGGTATGGGGAAGATGCCCAGTGCATGACATGCAGGCCAAACAGATTCAAGGAGGACTGGGGCTTTCAGAAGTGCAAGCCATGTTTGGACTGTGCTATCGTCAATCGGTTTCAGAAAGCCAATTGTTCTGCTACCAGTAATGCCATTTGTGGAGACTGCTTACCAGGGTGAGTTGCTGAAAGGGTAACAAGAAAACTGCACATAAAATGCCCTGAAGTCTTAGAACAGATCAGTTTAGATTTAGGAAATCCTGTGCTCTTACTTGGGTTCTATACCAGTATATACTCATGTATAAGTCAAGGGAAGATTTTGGAGCCAAAATTATGGATTTTGATATGACCTATAATTTGAGGGTAAAACAGAGACATGCAACAAAATCACAAAGGTTCACAAACTTTAATGTTACCATATATACTTAAGTATAAGCTGACCTGAATATAAGCCAAGGCACCTAATTTTACCACAAAAAAACTGGGAAAATGTGTTGACTCAAGTATAAGCCAAGGGTGGGAAATGCAGAAGCTACTGGTAAATTTCAAAATAAAAATAGATACCAATAAAATTACATTAATTGAGGCATCAGTAGGTTAAATGTTTTTGAGTATTTAAATAAAAGTAATTTAAGATAAGAATGTCCAACTCTTATTAAAACATTATCCTAACCTCGTTCAGTGTAAATGTGCTCTGCCCATTGGGGAAATCTTGAACACAGGGACCTTCCAGATAGGCCCTATATCCCAGGATCTGATCCCAGGTTTTTCTGTTTATCCCAGATTATCTAGCAGTGTGGCCTCATATAATCCAGTTTAAAGCAGAAAACCTATATACAGTAGTTCTTGCTAATGAAAACCAATGCAACTCTTCTTCTTTTTTTTTTTTTGTTAAGACTCTAGAGATCGGATATGAGAAATATATGATTTTCCCCCCTCTGTATTCCAGTTTCTACAGAAAGACCAAACTTGGAGGATTCCAGGATATGGAGTGTGTTCCTTGTGGTGATCCTCCTCCTCCTCATGAACCTCACTGTAAGTGCTGTGATATTACAGCTTTGTCCTTTTGAGGCATAGTTTAAATATATTGTGAAAATAGAGACTGATGTGTTGTTTTGATTATTATTCTTAAAAAATCAAATGTTACATTACTGAAATCAACTTTTAAGAAGCAAAGAAATAGTTGAGCGCATAGCACAAGGTCTTCATGTGTTACGATGCAGTAGAAGTGTAATGGGATACAATTCAAAGTTTAACCATCTTTGGTTCTTATTGATTTCACTGGAAAAACAAAGAATCACAAGGATATAGAGTTCTTGACTTTGAAAGAATTGTTCCCAAATTCTATTGTTGGATGTGATTTACATTGTATCCCATTATTAATAACTAGGTAGGGTGGGCCTGCTGTATCGAGGTGGCAAGTGGAACGGTTTAGTGATGGGTTGTTGTAGGTTTTTCGTGCTATATGGCCATGTTCTAGAAGCATTCTCTCCTGATGTTTTGCCTGCATCTATGGCAGGTATCCTCAGAGGTTGTGCGGTTTAGTGATGATCTGAACATGCACTTCAGCCTGTCTGCGTTCACATCACTGCCATTTAATAATTTGGGGCGTTACAATTGGAGTTTAATGAAATTGCGGATCCACAGATCCGGACGGCCCATTGTATTCCAAAGTCAACCTCAGGTAGTGCCATTGCAACCCTTCCCCTTTTGCCATGTTCTGGTGGCTGGGCTTGAAGCACATTTGATCTTTATAAACATGGATACAGTAGGCGAGGTTGCACATGTGGTTTTGTGAGCAATGACTATAAGGAAGGAATTGCAAAAATTGTGCCACAGGATAAATTAAATACTCAAAATGAGATTTTTCTATTTAGAGACAAAAAGCCTTTCTGATATAAAGCAAAATGTACTCAGGAGCAAAAGAAATGAATGCAATACAATGCCTGACTATGCTACTTGGAACCTTGAATTGCTTGAAGGTTAACAGCCACTTCTGTATGGGGCAAAGACTGGCTTAGATTGAATCTGCCTTCTCTCTCTCAGGCTAACAGCATACGCACTCTCAAACTGACATGAGCCAAATGATACTGTGCTCTCTTCCCCGATGCTTACTTGACAGGAGAACTCCTCTCTTGTCAGACCCGCAGTTGCTGAGTTTACCAGATCACTTTGTTAACTCTACGTATCTTCCAAAGGCATTATTTTAAAATTCCTTTCAATGGAGGCATGTAACGAGGGCTGTAACCTTTGTCAGACCCATGCAAGTGCAAGAGATTTGTATCAACAGATTGGTAGAAGAGATACAGTTCACAATTATGTAACTGTAATTGAATAATGTGTTGTCGAAGGCTTTCATGGCTGGAATCACTGGGTTGCTATGAGTTTTCCGGGCTGTATGACCATGTTCCAAAAGCATTATCTCTTGATGTTTTGCCCACATCTGTGGCAGGCATCCTCAGAGGTTGTGAGGTCTGTTGGAAATGAGGCAAGTGAAGTTTATATATCTGTGTACTGGTAGCCAGATTTTGTTCATTTTCATGGTTACCTCCTTTCTGTTGAAATTGTCCACATGCTTATGAATTTCAGTGGCTTCTTTGTGTAGTCTGACATGGTAGTTGTTTGAGTGGTCCAGCATTTTGATGGCTTCCAGTATTAAAGAACACTCAAAAACAGGGCAATTACAGACAAGAAATAATCAGGGCCAGCTAACACCTCCCAACAAAGGATCCTCCAGGCAACAATGAGACAGGCTTTGAAGCTACAAGACCATTAAATGCTAATCAAGGTGGCCAATTGCAACATTCACACTTGCTTCAAGTAGACAAAAGTTCTTTCTCCCACCCTGGGCATTCCACAGATATGTAACTTCACTTGCCTAGTTTCCAACAGACCTCCCAACCTCAGCAGATGCCTGCCATAGATGTGGCTGAAACGTCAGGAGAGAATGCTTCTGGAACATAGTCATACAGCCTGGAAAACTCACAGCAACCCTGTAATTGTATAGTTCCTATACAATTATAATTAGTTATGCCATATAACGAATTGTGTTATCCAATATTTTGGGGTATTTTGATACTATTAGATTATTACATTATGGCATAGTTTCTTTTGATTTATTTATGTTTCATTCTTCTTTTTTTTAAAAAAGCATTAACCTTCCGTAGTGAAATTCAAGAGCAAAAATGGTGGGGCATAAAATCCTACCAATATAAGTAATGCTGAATCACAAGCCCATGCTGGTGTGCATGAAATGTTTCTCATGGAAAGAAGATTTGAATAACAAAGTGCTTGAAGTGCCATAATTCCAGTGGTCAGTTCCATGAGCTCTGTGGTATCATGAGATCCTAGTCCATGAAATAAGATAAAATGAATATATAATAATATAGAAAAATATAAAATATTAATCGAATTCTAAGCTATTAAAAACATGCAGTACTCAACTCTTCCTCCAAATATGTAGGCATTCTGCAGTGAAAATTTTGTATTTTAAATAGATGAAAGGGACAACTATTAAATATCTGTCTGTGTAAATTAATCACAGTGTGTATACTTTGGCAAATTTTTGTTTGCTCTTGGGGCTAAGTTGGGGAAACATATTTCCTGAGCAAAAATCCCATGATATGACTGGGATGTTAATGGGGGCTGCAGAATGTGGGTAGCAGTTGATTATTACCCAGTTAGCTATAAATTTCTGGACTGGCTTTCATCTTCTCTCTGTCTGCAGACCTTTCAAAGCAGAGTAGTGGTTTAAATATTTACTCATGAAAAACTAGTTGTAGGTTGTTAAAAGACCATCAGAAAGTTGAAAGGATTCCACAGTGGACATGTAAGGAGTGCAAAAGGCTATGAAAATTGTAATTGTTCTTGGGTAAACTTTAAAGGGTAAACATTGGATTTTGTGTGATTTCATAATAGCCAATGATATTTTTGCACTATGTAGTTCATTTTAAATACCAAGTCACATAGATCTGCTTCTTATTAGGGAAGTTTTTGATCACATAATAAGAATGCGTGTTTTGTTTTTCAAAACTGAAATCTGCCTGTGTATTTTTATCTCATTGTATATCATGTAACAAGGCATTGAATGTTTGCCTGTGTCTGTAATATACTGTACTGTGTTCCCTCACTTATTGCAGGTGTTCCGTTCCAGGACCACCCGCAATAAGTGAAAATCCACAAAGTAGGGACACTCTGCCCACTCAGTGGCAGGCTCCTCCTCACTGCCTCTGCTGCTCCCAGCCTCAGATGGCCCCTTGGGCACCATTGACGGCACTGCCAGGCTGGGCTGAGGCCTGGTCTGAGGCCTCAGCCCAGCCTGGCAGTGCTGTCAACGGAGCCCAAGGGGCCTCCGAGGCAGGGAGCAGCAGAGGTGGTGAGGAGGAGGAGGCCACTGCTGAGTGGGCAGAGCCTAGCAGCCTTGCAGTGCTGTCAATGGTGCCCAAGGGGCCTTGGGGAAAGGAGCCGGGAGACGCAAAGAGGAGGAGGCTGCCGCCAAAGAGCCTGGAGACAAGTCCCAGGGTAAGACCCAGTGCCTGCCTCCTCCTCCTTCCTCCTCTTATTTATTTATTTATTTATTTGCTATACTTGTATACCGCCGTTTCTCAGCCTAGCCGGCGACTCAACGCGGTTTACAACAACTTATAACAAACAACAGTATACAGTTTAAAAGCATAAAAACACGATCCACAATACATATATCAATAAACAATCCAATTCATCTCTTGACTAAAATCGCGATCCAGTTTCGTCGTCCAAATTGCCAGTCCTTCAATCATTACACTTATTGCACTGAGTTAACCGAACGCCTGCTCGAACATCCAGGTTTTTAGTCTTTTCCGGAAAACCATCAATGAGGGGGCTGATCTTACCTCCATGGGGAGGGCGTTCTATAGCCGCGGGGCCACCACAGAAAAGGCCCTGTCTCTCGTCCCCGCCAGCCGCACCTGTGAAGCAGGCGGGATAGAGAGCAGGGCCCCCCCAGAAGATCTTAGGGTCCTGGTGGGCTGATAGGCTGAGATACGTTCGGATAGGTAAGTTGGGCCAGAACCGTTTAGGGCTTTAAAGGCCAGCGCCAGCACTTTGAATTGAGCCCGGTAGCAGATCGGCAGCCAGTGGAGCTGGTGCAGCAGAGGAGTTGTATGCTCCCTGCGCTCCGCTCCAGTTAGTATCATGGCTGCCGAGCGTTGGACTAATTGGAGCTTCCGAGCCGTCTTCAAAGGCAACCCCACATAGAGAGCGTTGCAGTAGTCTAAACGGGATGTAACCAGAGCGTGGACTACCGTGGCCAAGTCAGACTTCCCAAGGTACGGGCGCAGTTGGCGCACAAGTTTTAACTGTGCGAATGCTCCCCTGGTCACCGCCGAAACCTGGGGTTCCAGGCTCAACGATGAGTCCAGGATCACACCCAAACTGCGAACCTGCGTCTTCAGGGGGAGTGCGACCCCATCCAACACAGGCTGTAACCCTATACCCTGTTCGGCCTTACGACTGACCAGGAGTACCTCTTCCTCCCCCTCCACAGCTCCAGGGGGAGGAAAAACCCGTGAAACAGTGAGTCCGCAATAAGCAAATCGCGATGTAGCGAGGAAACACTATAATCCATTCTGAGCCCTCTTGAGGAGAAGAGTGGAATATAAATATAGTGTTAGCTTTGTTGTTGTTGTTGTTGTTAAATAAGGCCTTCCTAATCCACATACTTTCTTCAAATGTTAATGAAATTCCATTTTAATATGGGATCTTATTAACATGTTCCTTGTTACAGACATTTCAGTACCATTGTTAACAAGTCAGCTTGAGGGAGAAACTTCATGGAAATAACGGAAACAAAATCATTGTTATGCAAGTTTGGTCCAAGTCTTCACATATGCCTGTAATGTAATTCAATCTGGAATTTTCTGATGATTCCCGTATGAGGAAATATTGATTGAAATACTAATTTAGAACAGAGAAGTGATATTTTTGATTTAGTGCTAAATAAATAGTACAAGTATTTATAGTTTGAAAGGAATGATCAATGGTTAGCAAATTTTCAG